CTGCTTTTTGATTTGTCAATCGTTATTACTGATTTTTTAATTCTATTTTAACCGCTGCATCTGTCCTTTTCTTGGCGAGTTTTAGGACTTTCTCACTGTCGTTCATTCCATTTTTTTATGTTGATTTTTCACATTTGCATGGATTTTATGTATGAATTTATTTTTTGTGCATGTCCTTAGACCCCTGGACTGGACGTATGATTTGGTTTTATTTTTATATCAGGAGACGTGGATGTCCGTTTTTTGGGAAGCGTTCTCTGCGTATGTGAAGCTAAGGAACAGGTGGTCACATTGGAGGATTATTCGGTTTTTGCTGTGGCGTTTTTCGTCTTTGTGAAGGTATGGTGCCAGTATGATTGTTTATGGTCAGACTTAAACATTAATAGGTTGTGTTTATTGTACGAGCCAGAAGCCCTTTTTTTGCAATTTATTTGGGAATTTCTCTCTCACACTCATGCAGATCCGTCTTCGCATTTTTTTTCCAGAGAGTCAATGTCGCCAGCCTCTGTGCCCACCAGCCATCACCACTTTCGTATTAGACATGGAACTTAGAACATGCAAAGTATGTATGTCCCTCAGATCTCATATTCTTTCATTTACTTCAATTTTTATTAGATTTTACATAAGCATTTATTTCTATGTTTGTCTTGGTTTATTGTGTTCTGGGTGTCTGTCAATTGGTGACAAATTTGGCATGTGATTTCTCTCCGAAGACTCATGCGAAGGTTAACTGTAACACTAGTGCCCTTTTTTTTTTAATCTGTGTTGTTAGATTTGTACTTTGTTTTTCGTTTTTTTAATGTTTGATTGATAACTTGAGATTTTCTGCTAAAAGATTAGGATTGGGGGAATTTGAGAAGGATGGGTCACATTTTGACATATGAAGTTTGTGTAATTGATGCTTATGTGTGGAATAAGGTGGTGAAAGCTGCCTCTAAGCATTTCAAGAAAAAAGAAGAAAGATCAGATGGATCATGTGAGGTTCTTCACTTATTTCAGATCACATGGAAATATTTAATTCCTCATTTGTTATTCTTTATTGTTTCATTCAATTTGTTAAATTCGTTTAATTGTCTTTGTAATCTGCATTAGGAATAGGAGTGACATTACGTTGTAGAAGAAATATGTTCTTTGTTTAGTTTAAAATTAATTATGTGTGAATTTACTTGGAAATGTTCATATGAATTTGGTGTAATATATAGCATTTCACTGTTTTTTTTCTTCTTTTCAGACAACTTGGTGGACATCAGATATCTGATGTGTTTGATCAGCATCTCCATGTTGCTTTGAGTAAGCGCCTCCTGTTTATATGGATGTGTTCACCTTGCAAACACTAATCACTAGAATATTCAAAAGTTTTCATTGGTCATTTCAATTAGTATACCTGCTGATTGAGAAGAAAAATAATTAATTTGTAAGTTACTCTAATAACATTAGTTGTCGGTTTAGGGAATTATTATTCTGGGTGATACTTAACTAAAGCTACGGTATCTCATTGGATCAATCTTGGAATTAAATAGTGAGGTGAAATTATAAAGAATTTTTTATTGGTAAATAGTGATGAGTATTTAGAGTTTTGCTTATATATTTTAAGGCCTTGAAAAAAATCTGTCAGCTTAGTTATCGAATATATTAGGAGTTTTAAAACAATTGTGGCTTCCTTCTGATTCAAATTCGAATTCATTATTACTTAAGGTTTTTGAACTGTTTCCCCAATTAGGAAGTAGATGGTTTTTCTTTGGTTGTGAGTGAAAAAAAACTTTTGACGTTCTTGGTGATTAGTCAATCAGCTGCTTCATAGTATTACCTTAGATGCCAATTTATTTGAAAATAAGTGGACAGAATTGGAGATCAAAATTGACAAAATAAGTTGCAAACATTTTGATTGCACCGCAGTTTTGTCAACGATGCATCCATATGCATTCTGTTCGGAGTTGATTGTTGCAGGTTTCTTTGTGTTCTTAGCGGAAAGCTCTGATTGTTGCAGAGATTGCATTGTTTTTGGCTAAGAGGAAAATTACAATTGTCAATTTGGATGCTGCCAACGATGCATAACGGTATCATTTTTCTCTATTTTGTTGTGTTTTGTTCTTTCTAATTTGCAGTATTGCATTGTATTCCAATGTAGAATGTTGAGCCTTCAATGAATTTAGTTATGAATGTTTTGTGAACATGGAGGATCTTATAAAACTCAGTCATGTGATGGTGGAGCACTCTCTGGTTCCAATGGAGGTTAGTGTTCTTTATTGAATCTTTAAAAGTTCAGTGCTTGGACAAAGTAAACAGTGTAATTTTTTTTGGTTTGTGAATTTGGAGATAAGTGACAATTTTTCTTTTAAAGAGAGGAAGTTATTGGAAATGGTAGGAACAATGGTTACTGACTTATTTTTGTTATTTAAGCATCTAAGGATGATTTTCTGTTTACTAATGTCCTAAAAGCTCTTCCTCTATTTCTATTTTAATTCCTTTATTTTCATTTTGTCTACAAACCATTCTGCACCTTTGATTCAAACTTGATTATTCTTTAAATATTATACTATGCTCTACGTTCTTTTATCCTTTGAAACATATTTTCTCATATATTTTCTAATCTCACATCAACACGAGGACACTATTTCTAGTATCTACTAAATTTTCACGATGATCCATGGCCCCTCGGAAGTAGCAATTAACCGCTTTGTAGTTTCTCAATTATTATTCTTGGGCCTATATAATTCAATTTCCTAATGGAGGATGTATGACCGTAATTAAGAGCTTGAAGACGGGCAAAGTTTTTTTAGGTATAAAATATGAATCTCACAACAAAAAGCCATGGCCCATTCACTGAATGTGTGACAAATAGATATTCCAAACCAATTTGCGTAATCTTATAAATTATAAGTTTTTGTATATTTTTTTGGAATTGACATGTTAAAGGGAGTTTTTATAATACAAGTAACATCTGAAGAGAAGGAAATCAAATTTAGGATCATGAGTGTAGGTGGTGTACTTAAAATAAATGTTCTTATCACCACCATGATGCTTGAGTTAAAATTTAATGTCAAGTAAAAAGATATTTAACGATGCCACGTAGTGATAAAAATTTATTGGTAAGTTTTTCATACAATTCTTTGAACATAAATAAGATATTCTTAATCAATTGAACTACCAGCTATCACAACATATATGGTATGTCTGCTACCTTTAATTTGCTTGGCTTGAACTAATTATAGGAATTGGCTAAGATTATGTCGGTTGGGTTTAGCTGGTATTTAGGCCCTTCCTTTTAAATAGTTTAAAATATGGTCACATAACGAATGTATAATCCCAACTTATTCAGTTGGTGATTAACTGTATGCTTTATTTAAGTTGGAATTGGTGCTAAATAGCGCAAATTAAATCCTAATCCAGCCAATTCAACGCCCCTTAAGGGTTGCAAAAATACATGAAAGAAATTTATTTGCCTCCATCTTTTTTAATTCGTTAATATTTGAGTCTTGTCCCGTGATGAACGAAATTGAAAGAATTATATTTACATGGATTTGAAAAATAAAAATTTACAATTGAGGTGAAGTGTGGGTGGAAAATGAAAGGGGAGGAAATAATTTGAATTGGTACAAGCAACATAAAAAGTCTCTCCAAATAGTGGGACGAATGGAGCAGTTTCTTTCCGACACTCCCAACTCGTACAAGCTACGCCCCAAACCAAACTCTGACTACGTGCCCAAGCCACCGCCATACAGTAAATTCTCTGTTTTTTATTATGTCATAAAAAAAAACAAAAACGCTGATGACAATTTACGATTTATTCACCTCTTTTGAGTTTGGAAAAATTATGAAGAATTCTATTTTACTTATAATTACATTCAAGCAGATTCATTAGGTCAGAACCCGTAACGTGAGTAAAAAGCAGAACAAAGAATTCCATGCGCCCTAAGGAGTAGTCAGCAGCACAGCAGTAAAGGGCAGGAGGATGGGATATCATATCAGATCATATGGGCGACTAGATTGATGACTTTGGATGTTTCTGCGTTCTAGTGGAAGAGACAAGTCGCATTCAGCAAACGGTGCTCACCTCTCACGTCCCACTTTATCGGATCTGTGATAACTTTACACCATGGGCTTGCGGGTCCACTACCCATCTCCTCTCCTGCAGAACAAGATCTATATACATAAAACAGGTTTATTGCCACCGTAATATATCGGTTCATGATTAATATATTGTATATGTTTTTAACATAATGTTACATTGTTATAGTATAACCAGGGGCGAACCCATGAATAGGCAAGGGCATCAGGTGACCCTCTGAATTCGATAAATCTCTATAGATAACTTAGGTGTTGTTCTTTTAAAGGTTAGAGTTGCCCTTCATACATTGCCATCAACTGCTTGATATAATGCCTTGAAGAGGGGTTGCCCTTATTATTATTAGATTTTAGGATAAAGTATAAAAAATTACCTCAACTATTGGTGTCTCGACACTTTCATACCTCATCTTTTTAAAATGACAATGTCGTACCTCATCTTACGAATTTGTGTCAATGTCATACCTCCGTCAGTTTTTCTGTTAATTTTTCTGTTAAGTGATGACGTGGGTAGATACTGGGGCCACTCACTAATCCAACTGAATTTAAATATAATTAAATATATATTTTTAATAATTAAAATTTTAAAATTTTAAAATAAAATTATTTTTTTATATAAAATTGTGGATCCACTCTCTCTCTCCTCTCTTTCTCGCCTCTTTTCTCTCTCTCTTTGGACACCCACCTGCATCCCCAAAACCTTCCCCACCCTTCCCACCCATCCCCCCCAACTTTCCTCCCCCTCACACTTTCTTTCCCCCGCTCCCATCTTCTCTGCGCAACCTCTCCCTCCAAAAACTCTCCCATCTAGAGCCCCTCGACCTTTCCACCTCCCACCTCTGCTTCGCCACTCTCCCGCCCCGCCGTCCCTCCCTCTCAATCACCTACCTCACCGTCAATGACAACCTCTTCTACGCCACATCAGGCCACAAGAAATGCCTCTGGATCTCCACTGCGTCGAGTCGGTCAAGGCGCATGAGGACGCCGTGAATGCGTTGGCAGTGTCGAACGACGGGACAATGTACACCGAGTTGACGGATTGTCAAATTTGGGTGCGGTCCAAACCGTTCGGGGAAGATGGGAGCGGGGTGGGATCTGGGTTGGGTGGTTCTGGTTTTGAGTTTAGGGAAGACGGGGAGCGAATGGAAGAAAGGGTGAAGGGGAGGAAGGTTGGGGGGGGACAGGTGGGATGGGTTTGAGGGATGCAGGTGGGTGTCCAGAAAGAGAGAAGAGAGAGGTGAGAGAGAGAGGGTGGTGGAGGAAGGGGGGGGCAGGGGTGGGTGGGAAGGGGTCGAGTGGGAATGGGTTTTGGGGATGGAGAGAAAAGAGAGAGGCAAGAGAGGGGGGTAGAGAGAGGAGAGAGAGATTTAATATAATTTTTTTTTAAATTTTAATTATTAAAAAATATATTTAATTATATTTTAATCCAATTGGATTAGTGAGTGGTCCCCGTATCTAGCCACGTCAGCACTTAACAGAAAAATTAACAGAAAAACTGACGGAGGTATGATATTGACACAAATTCGTAAGATGAGGTATGACATTGTCATTTTAAAAAGATGAGGTATGAAAATATCGTTACTTTAGCCTATTTTTTTAAAATATTATTTAACCAAAACGATGTCATTTTGAACTTGGATGTTTTATTAAAATAATATCTGCTGGCGGCAGCAAGCCCTTAACTCAATTCCAATTCTTAAATCTGATTATCTAAATCCAACCAAACTCAATCCATAACGCCCAAACTCCTACCACCTCGTATTGACTTTTGTTGTATTAGTTGGTATTACTTCACTGGAGAGAGATATTTTGCTATGGATATTGTTAAATGTTTATTGTGTTACTAAATGAGAGATCAATAGTTGATTGATAACATGATTACTTATATAAGAGCAATGTTTTTTCTTCCATTGATAATGAAGCTCTGATATAGCGTTTTCAAAATATAAAAATGCATCGTGCATAACTGTAACTTGTTTTGTTATTTCTTCTATAAATTATAAAGCTATGGTTTAATTTTTTAAGTTCTTATGCAATATTTACGAACTTTTACATGATCCTCCATCGATTGATCAGGGAGCTCGATTTGTACGGCCACGATCCGTTCGAGTTGCCGTAGAGCGCGTGTTACTCAACGGCCACGGAGGGAGGAAGAGGCACTGGTTCTGCTACACGGTTAGGGTTTTGAAGGAGGCGAGGGCGAAGAGCGGGTATTGGCGGAGGCAAGGGCGGTTTAGGGACGTGGTGGGCCGCGGAGGGAAGGTGGTTCCGGGGAGGAGGTCGAGCTTTGTGTTTTATTTTGGGAGTTCGCCAAACGACGCCGTAAGGACTGATTGGGTTCTCTATCAGTATGCTCAGGTCGATCATGTTAAGGTAATTTTCGTACACTGTCGATTTTCCGCATTTCGGTTTGGATGAAGGGGCATTGCCTTATTTGGGTTTGAAGTTCTTGTAGAATTGTCTTATTAGGGTTTGAAATTCTTGTAGAAGTCATGGTATATTTGTTCTTGTTTTGTATAATTTGGTTATTGTTGTTGTTGTATCAATGTCATATGTATGCGTGATTCCGGTTAATTAGGGAAAGGGTCATTTTTTTCCTTTTTTATTTCTTTGGTTAAATTGCTGAATATTTGAGTTGAATGAATGATTTTCCATGTGTATTGAGCTGTTGAGAATTTTGAGTTTTGTTTGCCGAGTAGATAGTTATCGGAAATGTCTCATTAGAACCCAATAGGCTGTGTAAGCATAGACGAATTTTGTTTTACTCGGTGAGACGTGGGTAGAAGTGTAGGTGTTGACACTCTTTTGCAAATTTATTCTTCATGACGTTCAACCATGGTCTAGCTCTCTAGCCAATTAAGCATTGTGCGTTATGCCATACGATTGATACTCCCCTTAGTTATTACTGCACGGTGCTAAATATAATGGCGTGTGTGCACATGAGTAAAATGTCGTATGTCTGTTCATGTGCAGGCTGCTTTTGTCCTTTGCCGTATTTTGGTGAGATCTCGTAGTGGAAATAGAATATCAGATCATGGTTTAAGTTCTTATGCTGAAGAAAGTGCTCGCACTGTTCGTCGCATTGGAATTCAGCATGATGGATTTCATACTCCCAGTTGTAGTGAAAATGAAGTGCATGGTGACACTTCTGTGCCTAGGAAAAATGAGATGTCAAAATATCCGAGGCTGGACCCTGAGCTAGATGATCGAGTCATGACAAGGCCTGTTTCTATACCAAGAATTCAGTCTAATGAACAGGTAAATGCACCTTAAGCAAATTCTTGTGCTACTACTGTTAGTGCTACTTTCATCATTCACATGCTTGATATACTATACTATTTAACAACAACAGAGTCTTACATAGCTGTTGAATAGAATTCATCTTTCAATTGTTGATATATTCTACCTGTTTCAATAATTTACTTTGTTTTCCATTCTGCCACATCAATGCTTACTATGCCTTATTTTTTAGAATCAAAGGGACATCTTGTGAAGTTTGTTACCTTGATAAACTGGTTAAAAATTATTGTTTTCTGTTGGGACACTTATTCTAAGCGGTGTCTTTCATTAGCATCAGACATTTTCTGATGCTCTTTTTGTGGTAGTTTTGCACTTTGCAGTCAGAAATATCCATATGCTTCCAAACAGATGAAAACAGTAAAAACCTATAGATGGAGTCTTGACAATCTCAAAAATCTCATTTTGCCATCCTTAGAAATTTCCCATTTGTTATTTTATGCACTTCGTGTCTCAAAATTATTGAATTAGTCAGTCTGAAGTTTTCTAGACACAGGTGGCCTTTGAAATTTTATGATGCTGGTGTAGTACTAGTGTACTATTGATTCCATTACGTCTTGTTACATTACATGGTTCGTCTGATCCTGTTTTAAATTATAATTTTTTCTGCTAAATTATTTGGATTTCTTTCTGTGCAGGTGCCAGCATCTGTGCTCGGTGGTAGGAATCCAATATTGCTTGATAATTTGGCGGCCAAGCACTTACATTCCATTCTGGAGGGTGATTTTATAGAGTTGGATGATCTCATCGATTGAGCATCCAATATAAATAATAAGGCAACTGGATCGTTCCTATTAGAGGGAGTCTCTGGGTCTCAAAGAGGTGGAATCAACCTAAATTTTCAGACTAAATTACTGAGGTGCTAAATTTTCATTTGAGACAAACTGTGCATACGCTCTGTTTAAATGCACAGCAGAGGATGAGAAGGGTTTAAGTACTGAAAACCCTTTAAGAAACATTAACGGATAAAGTATAATGTTGGTTACGAAGTGGAGAGAGATGAATGGCAGGCACCAACACCTGTAAAGGTAATAGTTACAAAAATCATTCAATGTATTGTATTTCAGTTCATGCCAGGAAATATTCATTTGCTTTCCTTTGGGGATGCAGATTTGCTCTGTGCCTAAAAAGGGGCAAGGGCTTCACTTGAACAAGAAAGACTAATACGTCTGATGATGGTAAATCCGATATCGAATCTGTTAGTATCAGCCGCTTCAGCAGGTTTCAATCCAGCTGCCTTGTATCTAGGGGTGGAAAAAATTCCCGAAAATCCCGAACCGAACCGAAAAAATCCCGATCCCAAACCAAAAATTTCCCAAACCGAAATTCCCGAAATTTTGGGGATGCTATCCCGAACCAATCCCAAAATTTCGGTATGGGATTCGGGATTGGCTTCTCGATATTTCGGGAATCCCATACCAAACCGAAAATATATAATATTAATTATTATATATATTTATACATACATATATATATATATATTATTCTTTTATAATTGATGCTAGTAGTTTCTAATTCATGCTCAACAACCTAGTATGCCTTACACCTTGCATATTTTTCATGTTCTGTTTGATATTCATGTGAATTTTATTATTGCTGCTGCCATGGCTGATGATTTCAAAAGGCTTGATTCTTTTGTCTCTCAACAGATTGCAAAAAGAGTTTAATTAATTTGAATTTTGACTATGATAAAAAGAGTCAAGCATGCCAATGTTCAATTAAATGGTAGTGTGAATGAAATGAAATTCCTAATTCATAAATGTGTTCTTGAATTATATATTTGAAGAACAATTCATAATTTCATATTTCAATTTGGGATTCCCGATTTGTCCCAAAATCCCGAAAATATTTCGGGATTCCCGAAATTTGGGATTCCCGAAAATTTGGTTTGGGATTGGTCTTCAAATTCCCGTCCCGAAAAATTTCGATTTGGGATTCGGGATACTAGTTTCGGTATGGTATCCCATACCGAACCACCCCTACTTGTATCTACATTTGGATACTTTGAACTTGTGGAAATGTTATGTTTTTCCGTTGTCTAGCGCCTTCCTTAGCAAGGCCTATTTTGCTGTCTGATGCTGTTTTTCATCTCTCTTTCATATTCCAAAGATTTGATAGAAAACAGTTCTGAGTAATTTCGACATAATGATGATGACATTCATTTGATAATATGTTTGCAATTCCATGATGAATAGCTGCGGAAAATCAGCTTTGATAATTCGTTATACAATTTCTTATCATGTCACATTTTCTGGAAATGCTCTGATTCGTATATAGGTTACATTGTTATCGTATCATGAACTCCCGTCATTTTGCAGAAGGTTATGTTCATTGTTGATACGCCTGTCCGTGGTCTTCATCTTCTTCACCTTTCTCTGTCTGTAAATTATTCCTGGTTTTATTCTAGTGTCTTTGCTGTTAGCTTTGGGCTGTACCTGTTTCTTTAGCTGTTCGGCCTCAATTGTGGCTTCCTTTGGGCTTTGTGAAGAAATCATTTTTAGACACCATTAAAGTGTAAGTTGTGAGTCAATGTTAGGAAAAAAAAGGGAATGTAAATATTGTAAATACTAAGAGTCCTTTATTAGGAAGGAATGTCCTTTATTATTTGTTTCCTTATGGAACATGAATTGTATGTATATATATATATATTTCAAATCAGGAATACAATGAAAATTAGCCTGTAAAATTCTATTTGGTATCAGAGCCAAACTACCGTAACCCTAGAAAACTGTATCTTCCGCTGTGACGTTCGGTTGACTGGTTCCTGCGCAGTTTGTTGCAGAGATTGGTCATACTGTGTGTACTGTGATTGCATCATGCTGTTTTGCAGCTGCCGTGTGGTTCTGTCTTGCTGCTGCCGTGAGTCTCAAGTGCGAGTGCCTTTTTTTTCCTCCCTTTTCTCACTAAGTCGTGACGACGAATGTAGGAGATGAATCAATTTTGAAGTTGGAAGGTGGTTCCCACGCACCAACCAATAATCCGGTATCGAGTCCCGTTATTTAGAACGAAGGGTTTGCCGTATCAAATACCATGAAGTTGAATGGATCAAATTATCCTCTTTGGTCCAAGGTATTGGAGATGCATATTGCTGGACGTGGTAGAAAGGGCTTCGTGGGGGAGTATCAAGGAACCTGCTGAGGATAGTGCTGAGTATGAGACGTGGGAAATAGGGAATGCAGTAGTAAAAGGGTGGTTGATCAATTCCATGAAACCTACTATCATGGGATTTTTTATTCACCTGCGTACTGCCAAAGAAGTTTGGGAAGAGGTGGCTCGAACTTATTATGATGGTCGGATATCTCTCAAATTTATGAATCGATGGTTAAGTCGTTCAGGCTTCGTTAAGAGGGTTGGCCAGTGGGTGTGTATTACGCTGACCTTAAGTCCGTTTGGCAGGAGCTGGATTAACGAAGACCAATCAAGATTGAATGTGCTACTGATTTCAAGACACTTTGAGAAGAAATTCAAGTTGATCGTGTGTATGCTTTTCTGGCGGGTTTGGATGACATCTTTGATAAAGTTGTAAACACGAATTATTCCTGAAACAAGAGACAAGAATACGTGTACAAAATAATATTTTGTATTAATGATTTTGGGGTTACAATCTCTTTGTAATTTGATCCTCTGATTCTATCTTCGTACGATGTGGGTTTGTGGATGAGTTGTTGATCCAAAGGGCCGTCGGGGCTTGATCTAAGGATGCACAGTTGATGAATGGATCTTCAAGGGGCGTTAGGCTTGATCTTGAAGAATGGGTGTATGAGTTTGTTGAGGTTGTTGATCCAAAGGGCCGTTGGGGCTTGATCTCAGGATGAACGGATGATGAATGATGAACACTTTCTTCAAGGGGTCGTCGGGGCTTGATCTTGAGTTAGTGGGAGTTCTTCAAGGGCCGTTGAGGCTTGATCTTGAAGGTTGATGGATGAGCGGATCTTCAAGGGCTTTTGGGCTTAATCTTGAAGAACGATTGGATGTGTGGATTTGTTGAGGTTGTTGATCCAAAGGGCCGTTGGGGCTTGAACTTAGGATGAACGGATGATGAACGATGAACACTTTCTTCAAGGGGCCGTCGGGGCTTGATCTTGCGTTGGTGGAAGTTCTTCAAGGGCCGTTGGGGCTTGATCTTGAAGGTTGATGGATGATGAACGATGAACACTTTCCTCAAGGGTCGTCGGGGCTTGATCTTGAGTTGGTGGAAGTTCTTCAAGGGCCGTTGGGGCTTGATCTTGAAGGTTGATTTGACGAAGAACGAAGAGTGCTTTCTTGATCCTTCGGGATTTGCTTGAGAGCTTTAGAGTTCCGAAGCTTGAAGGTTTTGGTGTGATATCAATTTCCCTTCCTTTCTTCCTCCCTTCCTTCTTTCTCCCCCTTCCTTTCTTTCTTCCTTCCTTCTTTCTCTCTCTTTCTTCCTTCCTTTCTTTCTTCCTTCCTTCTTTCTCCCCCCAAAATGAATGCCTTTGGCCTCTTATTTATAGAATTCCAAAACTTGATTTTTGGATTTAAATAATCAGATGAAATAAATCATTTCTGCCAGGTATTGACACGTGTCCTATTTGATGACTTTTCCAATTTATTTCGATTTTTCGTTGAGTCACACGCTACATGTAAAATTTATGTGATACGTGAGCGTTGAAATTTTAATTATTGGTCAACATTCATTTCACCGAAATTTTGATGTCTACAAATGCCCCCACTTCAAGGCGTGTCGTAGACATGTGCTTGTCACGTGTAGAAGATGCGTTTTGAAGTCCCTTAATGTAGATGTCAACCCAAGGGCCGTCGAGGCTTGATCTTGAATTGGGCTGGAAATTTCTTCAAGGGCCATCGAGGCTTGATCTTGAGTTCGACTGGAAGATTTTCCGGTTTCCTCCAATCGTTGATTTTCCGCAGGCTTACTCTTGAACTGAGCTGGAGGATTCTTTTGGTCTCCTTCGAAGGTTTGAACTTACTCCTTTGATCTGGAGTTGAATTTGATTCAAGGGTGGTGAACACTTGATTTTGAATCGGACTTGTGATTTCTTCAAGGGCCATCGAGGCTTGATCTTGAACTGGGCTGGAGGATTCTTTTGGTCTCCCCCTATCGTTGATTTTCCTTTGTGCTACTCTTGAACTGGGCAGCAGGATTCTTTTGGTCTTCCCCGAAGGTCTGAGCTTACTCCTTTTTTTCTGTTTCTTTGTTCAATCTCTCCAATTCGTATTGAAGAGGGTTAGAGGATAGCTCAGCATATGCAGTCGTAGCTTGTCTCCACATGCTTCAATGCATCATTTTCAGTTGCCTTACTTGCTCCCCTTTGCAGAAGTGGTATTTCCTTATGCAGGTTTAGCATCTTCTCTTGTACTATTTGTTCCTGATGCAGGAGTTGAATGCAAACCTTGCATTTGAATGGACCATCACTTCTTGGTGGCAGCGCAAGTTTGAGTGGAGGTTCCGACATATTGCTTTCTCTGTCCTTGTCCTGGCAGGTGAGAACAAGGGCAAAGGAAAAGATAGGGGAAAAGCATGATATGAGATACCTTTGCTTTCGCCCTTGATGATATGAGATACTTTTACCTTGGTGTCATTTGTTTGCAAGGGTATTCCCGGAGAGGAAGAAAACTGAGCATTTTGAGATGCTTTGCTGGGAGTGTACTCTCGGAGGTGAGGAAGAGTTGGGCATTTTTTTTTCTTGTTTGCAGGTTTGCTTTGCCATAAAAGATGAAGGTCGACATATATAGGGATTTCCCAATAGCAAGTGGTGGTACTGTTCTTTTACCCTTGTCGACAAACGTTTTGATCCCGCAAATCCGGCTTTTTGAAATAGTGACGACTCTTCGATCTTTGAATACGCCTCTTTGATTTCTGAACGACGCCTCTTCGATTTCTGAACGAGTGCCTCTTTTGACAAAGCTGCATGCGTTTTCTGAAAAGCAGAGAAAGCGTCGCCGAACTTTGCGCTTGTCAGCTAAAGATGTGTAGCTGCGATGATAACCTCCACGTGATCTTTTGACAAAGTGGCACCCGTGCTCTGAAAAGCCGCGAAAGCGTCGCCAGCCTCCACGTGTTTTCAACTTTGTCGGAGATCTTTTGACAAAGTTGAACGCGTTTTCTGGAAATCCGAGAAAGCGTCGCCTAACTTTCGCCGGAAAATCCAGCTTTTGAGATTTGCAGAGCGATGTCTCTTCACTTTTGAATAAGCGGCCTTTCGATTTTTGAACCAACGCCTCTTTGATTTCTGAGCAAGCGCCTCTTCGATTTCTGAGCAAGCGCCTCTTCGATTTCTGAGCAAGCGCCTCTTCCTTTTTATAGAGGTATTGATCACCTTTAACATGCACACTTTGAAGGTTGCTCATTCCTGAAAATCATCTCCGGCC